TGCATTTCCCTAATAATTATTGATGTTGAGCATCTTTTCATGTGTCTGTTGGCCATCTGAATATCTTCTTGGAAGAAATGTCTATTCATGTCCTCTGCCCACTTTTTTAATAGGATTGTTTGATTTTTATATGTTGAATTATAAGAGTTCCTTGTATATTTTGGATATCAATCCCTAATCAGATATATCATTTGTGAATATCTCCCCTGATTCAGTAGGTTGTCTTTTCATTTTTTTGATGATTTCCTTTGCTGTGCAAAAGCTTTTTAGTTTGATATAGTCTCATTTGTTTAATTTTGCTTTTGTTCCCCTTGCCTTAGGAGACAGCCCAAGAGATATTGCTAAGACCGATGTCAGAGTTTGTCTGTATTTTCTTTTAGCAGTTACATAGTTTCAGGTCTTACATTTAAATCTTTAATTCACTTTTAGTTTATTTTTGTATATGGTGTAAGAGAGTGGTCAAGCTTAATTTTTTTTGCATGTATCTGTCCAGTTTTCCCAACACCATTTATCGAAGAGACTGCCCTTTTCTCATTGAGTATTCTTTGCTCCCTTGCCAAATATTAGTTGACTTTATATGTGAAGTTTTATTTCTGGGCTTTACATTTAAATCTTTAATTCACTTTTAGTTTATTTTTGTATATGGTGTAAGAGAGTGGTCAAGCTTAATTTTTTTTGCATGTATCTGTCCAGTTTTCCCAACACCATTTATCGAAGAGACTGCCCTTTTCTCATTGAGTATTCTTTGCTCCCTTGCCAAATATTAGTTGACTTTATATGTGAAGTTTTATTTCTGGGCTTTTGATTCTGTTCCATTGATCTGTGTCTTTTTTTTTTTTTTTTTTTTTTTGCCATTATCATACCATTTTGGTTACTAAATCTTTGTAGTACAGTTTGAAATCAGGAAGTGGGATGCTTCCAGCTTTGTTCTTTCTCAAAATTGTTTTGGCTATTAGGGGTCTTCTGTGGTTCCATACAAATTTTAGGATTGTTTTTTCTATTTCTGTGAAAAATGTTACTGGAATTTTGATAGAGATTGCATTAAATGTATAGATGGCTTTGGATAGTATGGACATTTTAACAATATCCTTTTCCATGAACACTGAATATCTTTCTATTTATTTGAGCCTAAGTGTTTTTCATCAAAATTTGTTTTCATTGTATAGATCTTTCACCTCCTTAAATGTATTCCTAAGTATCTTATTTTTGATGCTATTGTGAATGAGATTGTTTTCTTTCTTCCTTTTTCAGTTATTTTATTGTTAGAGTATAGAAATGCACCTGATTCCTATGTGTTGATTTTGTATCCTGCAACTTTACTGAATTCATTGATTAGTTCTAACAGGTTTTTGATGGCCTTTAGGAGTTTCTGTATATAAGATAATATCATTCGCAAAGATAGTTTTACCTCTTCCTTTCTGACTTGGATGGCTTTTGTATCTTTTTCTCGTCTAATTGTTCTGGCTAAGACTTCCAGTACTACGTTGAATAGGAGTGGTGTGACTGGGCACCCTTGATTGTTCCTGATCTTAGAGAAAAAACTTTCAACTTTTCACTGTTGAGTATGATGTTCGTTGTGGGTTTGTCATATTATGTTGAGGTATGTTCCATTTATACTCAAATTATTGTGAGTTTTTATCATGACAGGATGTGTTGTATCATGACAGCATTTGTCAAATACTTTTCTGCATCAATTAAGATGATCATATTATTGTTATCTTTTATTCTGTTAATATGGTTTATGACATTTATTGATTTGCATATGTTGAACCTTGTATCCCAGGAATATATTCACTTGATCGTGGTGTATGATCCTTATAATGTGCTGTTGAATTTGGTTTGCTAATATTTTATTGAGAAGTTTTGCATTTATATTCATCAGGTATATTGGCCTGTAGTTTTCTTTCTTTTTTTTTAATTCTCTCTCCCCGCCTCCCCCACCCCCCGCCACTTCCACCCCTGGTTGCCATCTCCCCTTAAGAACTGGATCTCTGAAGGCGGGGTGTCTCCTCCCATGCGCTCCGGGCCTGGGCGAACAGTGTTAGGTTAATGGAGAGCACAGATCACAGATTTGGCACCTACCTTCACCTGCTGCCTGGGTGGGGGCAGGGCTCAACAAAGGAATATTGGCACCTGCCAGCACTTCCGTCCCTGGAGAGAGCTGCCCCAACTCATACTCCTCCAGCCCTTGCCCTGAGATTAGTCAGTTCAGTTCCTCCTTGTATGTCCCTGGCCCAATTGGAGCTACTGCCCTTGTCCTGGAGCCAGAATGAGTTTGTGAGCAAGTGTCTGTGCATTAGCTCTTTAAGAGCAGCTTGTCTGTCTCCCACAACCCCTATCTCTCTGGTACACAGTCCATGCTGGTTTTCACAGCTAAATATTATGGGGACTCCTCTTAAGTACTTGTGCCCTTGGCTGGGGAGCCTAGTGTGGGGCTGGGACCCCTCACTCTTCAGGGGTGACCTCCACAATGGAAATACCCCTTCTGATATTTGATCTCACCACACTTGGTGTGGGACTGCCTTTTCTGCATCTCTGCTCCTCCTACCAGTTAACTACAGGACTTCTGTTCAGCTAGCCTTCAGGTTGTTCTCAATGATGGCTGTTCTATAATTTGTTGTAATTCTCATGTGATTGTAGGAGGAGGTAAGCACTCCGCCATCTTAATCAGAAGTTGCCTGGACTCTCCTCATAATTTCTTTTCTGGACACTGCAATTGTCTTCTGACCTCTTCTCTGCTTCTTGTACTACCCTATTTGCTTCTTGCTTCAAGATGCTGCTAGAGTGATTTTTATGAAATAAAAATATGATTATGCCACTCCCTGTGAAAGATTTTTCAGTATCGCACCATACCTCATTATTTCTCTTCCTTTCCTTTTCACCCTTGTTAGAACCCTTATCTTCTCAGTATGTCCGCACAGATGTTGAAAATTTCATTTAGCAAATTGACTTTAAAGGAAAATAGCAATTATCTCAAAAATAAAGTCCTACATAATAGAAATGTCAGTATTGTGTGAAGAGAACTTTGGGTCATGAAGACTTTGCCTCATAGCTTAGCCTAGTGATATTTTGCTAAAATAACAAAAGTGTACATTTTAGCAAAAATATCCAGAGCCTATTTAAAAGATGTACATTTTAAATCAAATTACAGAAATTTTAAAACAGATGTAGAGACACGAAATGGCTTCTGAACTCAGTCATTCAGTGACATTTCTTACCTTACAGGATTGAATCATCTAGATTTTGATTGTTTAATCATGCGAGAAACAACTACTGAGCAGAAAAATGAAGGATGAAGGTGGAACACACACAACCACAAATACCATCTAAGACTATAAAACTGTGGGGCAGGCCTAGTAAGTTCCCTGGTATGCCTTGAATTGCAGCCTGATTGACACTGCTTTTCCTCATTTGTAAAATGGAGTATAATCACTGTTTCAAAGTACTGACAAACAGTAGCAGGTGAATGAATCTTCTCCTTCCCAACAATTTAACAAAGAGGACAGATTTTTTTTTAATACCTTATTATATAAAGTTACATGAACAGAAGCAATTAAGTTTAATGTGTGCTGAGAACAGTGGCAGTGTTTATGAGAAAGTATATAGCATAGAGAAGGTCAAGGAAGAACTAAGGAATGGTTCTAGATTGAATGAGCTTGAAGAAACATGACAACTAAGAGCAACACGTGATCTTGGTTTGGATCCTTTTGTTATAAAGGACATACCTGGGCAGCTGGCCAAACCTGAGTGGGGCCTTTGGGTAAAGGGTATATGAGAGTTCTTTGTGGTGTTCTTACAACTTTTTTGTAAGTATGAAATTATTTCAAAATAAGTAAAAGTAACAACCTTTGTTCAAAAACTTTTATTTACTATAAAGACAAAACACCAAAATAGGTACAAATACTATAAAATTGGTTCAATGGGGTAAAAATTTTAATTAAAATATCAATATATTTAAAATAACAAAGGATATATTTAAGCCAAATTTTCTTAACCCAGAGATTTTTTTTTTTTGTAACATTTGCTTACACAGTAAGGTGCTAATAGAAGTTAGCCCTTAAGCCCTGGAAGTCTTAGGAATCATAGTCACACAGCAAATATAATTTCATTGTGAAAGTGAACTTTGGTAGAAGAAAAATCTATAGGACACCTGAGGTAGTAGAAACTGGAATAAACAGCAGTAGACATTATTTACAACTTGAGTACCAAATAACATTAAGAACACAAAAATAATTACACAATACAATTTTCAGTCCAGCTTTGATCCAAAGAAAATAAGAATATTACATCACATTTGCATTGAAAACAAAACAAAAAAAACAAAACACCACAATTACCAGCAAGCTGAGGGAACTGCAAACAAACTCAAACAATGGATTTTGACATCTAGAGGCTATTTGAGTTTGAAATGTGGTGGGCATGGTGATCTACAAAGTAATACTGATTAGCTGAGGTTCCTCAGTTTATACAGTTTACATTTCTGTCAGACAGTATTAATCTGACCAATGATCTTCCAGTACATAAAATGGCAAGAGTGCATCCTTTAAAGCTTGCACATGAGAGACTTGGAAACAATCTTATTAGAACTGTGATAATTCTAAGTAGTCAGAAAAAAAAAGAAAATAGAAAGTCAAGTACAACACATGTAGAGCTACCAAACTTCACATTTCGGTACTATTTTTAACTCTTCAAATATTGCCAATCTTCCAAACACAGGAATGTAAAATTTCACTAAGAAACACATTCACATTAAAGAAAAACTGCTTTTTAAAAAATTATATGCAATATATCCCTGTAAACTTGAAACATTTTTTAATTTGTGTTGTACATTTAAAATGTACTCTATATAGCTTATTTAGTTTATCCTGAGTCTTTGAAATAACCAATTCTATTTCATTCTGCAACAATTCATCTGGCTTCTGAAGAGTTAAAACTTAACATCTCAAAAAGTTGTATTAAATAATCAGTACTTGATTTAAGACACTCATCTTTGAAATAACCAATTCTATTTCATTCTGCAACAATTCATCTGGCTTCTGAAGAGTTAAAACTTAACATCTCAAAAAGTTGTATTAAATAATCAGTACTTGATTTAAAAGACTCAAAAAAAAAAAAAGGGATAAAAGAGCTGCCATTTTCCTTCAGGAGTCCATGCATTTGAATTCATTTCAGATGAAAACTATTAATTAGATAATTGTGCAAAATCAAAGGAATTAGTAAATGAAATGCACTTTTTAATTTCTGAACACATTTTCCAAGTTCAAAGCAAATTTATTGTTTAAAAATACTATTACTCATTGGTAGTTGAATAATTAAGTTAACTTTAATTATCAGCCAGGCCGACTGTAAATAGATAATGCATGGCAGAAGGAAAATAGCAGTTACATGTTATTATCAGTTACATGTGGTGATGATGAACGATGAATTGTTACATACAGAGTAAGACTTAAATGGTGTGAAGTTTCCTACAAAAGAAACCAATACATTAAAAATTCAAATAAATTTCAAGGTAATCTTGATCTTGGTTGTGAGCTGCATCACAGAGAATAGTTGATTTTCACTTAATTTATATTTAACCTGCATGAGAAGAGCAGTAACTGACTCAATGAAGGTAGTATTAAATTCCAATTTTAAAAACAAACAAAATTCTGTATTTAAAAAAAACTCTTGCAATAGCAAGATATTTAATAAACTCTAGTTCACATCTAGTTCTTTTTTTTCTGATTTGAAAAGCTCACCTCTCCCTGAATATTAAAAATGAAGGTGAAATGAAAATATAGAACCATAATTTCCAAAAACGAAATGAATGGGCCAACAGTAAAATGCACGACGAACCACAATTGCCCAGGCATTAAAAAAAATAAAGGTCAACTGTGGATCATAAAGAAGTTATCAACTTTTAAAAATATATTTATTTACTGCTACTTATAGCATATTCTGACCTAGAAGAGGCAGATACTGATTTTCATAACCAGTGACAAAAAAATTGAACGGAATTGCAGAACCCTCTGCTTGTGATCACAATATGAAATGGAAGAATAATTGAAACATTAAAATAGCTCCTGAGCCCCTCAGCTGCTAATATTGCTGAAAAAGTGCTCCAAAAGATAAAATAATTATGCTTCTGTTTATTAGTCATGCAAACTTCATTCCTGTTCACCTAGGGCCAGTTCTTTGAAAGGCACGGTTTACAGTTTCTGCAACAAATCGTGGACTTTTGCATACCAAGCTTAGGTACAGAGCATGATTTGTCAATCACATACTTAGGTAGGGTTCCTCACTGGTCTCGTTCATAGCTGTTCAGTGGCACAAAGGCCAGTGTGGTTCCCCACAAAAGTTCTCTTATTGAGCATCCTGTCTCCATTATAGTTTATCTGTATAATTGGCTACCATGTAGTACGGAAGACCGGATGCTTCAGTAGCTCTCTCGACGGAGGTCTGTCCTGAGGTTGAAGTTCTAAACAACGAAGAGCCACATCTCGTAAACCGGGAGACAAATGTGAAGGGATGGATGGAGCAGTAGTTGCACTAGCAATCTGTAGGAGAAACACCAAAATGTTGAAGCTTTCTACAACTGGAACCTTTGATATAGAAGTACAAGTGCATATATTTCATAATCTCTACATATGCATCTGTGCATAGAAAATAGAAACTGAAGCAGAAGTGAGTGCACTTTTTGCTAATGAGGAGTCTATGGAAAAATTCACCCATTCAACGGGAGGTTTTTTCTAAGAATCTTTCAAATTTTAGGATTTTTGAACTTTATCAAATACATCTGATAAGATCTACTCTTTTGTTTATTGTCTCAAATGAACAAGGCTAACTGCATCCAAATGATTAGACAGGTAAAGTGTTCACTCAAATGAATTCTGCATTCTTCATATTCACTCTACGAGATGGTTTATTCCCTTTGTTTCACTGCACATTTTCTACCTTTTTCAGCAGAGAGATCTATTCAGTTTGAGAGAGACCTATTCAGTTTGAGAGACTAAATCTGGCCAGTCAATACAGTATATCAGAAACACAACTGCACTGATTTTTTTCAGGTACTGAGGAAGTTATATAAGTGTGAGGTGCTGGGGGGCTAGAGGATTAATACTAGTAGCCACTTTGCACAGAGGTGACTGTGTGGTAAGTGCTTTACTCAGGCCCAGAGGTAATTTTGTTTATCCTTATAATAATCCCATGCTATATTACACATTTTATGAAAGAAAACAGAGTAGATGTAAGTAATTTCCCTAGTCACATGGCTATTAAAGGATGGAGCCAGGATTTGAAACCAAGTCTAAATAACTCCATAGCCCAAGCATTTTAGCTAGCACATGTCTGAGTCAAAAGCTAAAAATCTCAGTCATGCACTATTCTCTGGTGGAAATAAAGAGAATGGATTTGAGAGTTGTCAGTAAGGTAGAACAGACAGGATTTGGCAACTGACTTGGGTGTGAAATTTGTAAATACAGAAAATAACAATTTAGAATTTTAAAATATGTGGATTGTGTATAGTACACGAAGAGCTTCAAGTATTTGAATTTAAAGTTTGATATGTACATATGTACATATTTCATGCAGGAGCAATGATTCCGTATCTGCTAATTCAGTGTTCATAGCAACTTTACAGAACATAACTACTGGGAAGAATGAGAACTGACTGTACATGCCGCCAACATTCACCACACCATATAAATTCCTGGAGATATATAAATATATACTTATTTCAAGGAAGCTATGCCTTTATGTTAGATTGATAGTTAAGGAGAACCTAACATGAAAATTTGCCTCCTGTCAATCTTAGCTCACAATTACCTTGAATATCAAAGCAAGATGATTGGAATGTTTTTCTGCATTCCAAGGTGGTTTAGCACAAGCCATTTCTATAATAGCACAGCCAACACTCCACACATCACAGCTCCTACCATACTGCTGACCTCTGAGTACCTGAAATAAAGCAGAGAGTTAACTTGGAAATGATTCGTTAAAAAATGAGAAAGTCACTCTATAATTATGGATTCCAGTTTTTTACTTTAGAGCAAAGCAAAGGTACCAAAAGCAATTTCATGGATGATATGCTGTCTCATTTATCTTATTTACAAGTTTAATCTCCTATGTAGCACAAAAGTATTTAGAAGAATTGTGAGGTTCTGAACAAGAGTCACATGAAACCACAGAAGCAGCCCCAGTGTACTTGGTAAACCATGGGGCAACAGGACAATCAACACTCACAACAGATAAATATGAAGAGTTCTACATAAATATGAAGAGTTCTGAACACAACAGAAGAGGCCAATGCTTAAAACTTCTTCCACTGTTAATAAGACCTGCTTCTGTGTACTCATCTCCCTTTGGAATAGAGAACCATTTTTAAAACTTCTATTATGTGTACTTTGGGTTTAATACAAAATACCTACTATAAACTAACCAATTCTTTATTATAAACAGCCTTTAAGCAAATCTATTAAGGCAAAGATTGAAGGGGTTAAAGTTCTAAAATCAAAGATATCATTAAAACCCTATTTTTAGGGCCATGGACTGACTTCTAATTGGTAAGCACATACTGGATAACACTGCAAAATAATTTGGTATAATGCTGTCACACAGAACTCAGAAATATTTTTTTTCATCATACTCAAAGCTGCTTCTCACCTCAGGTGCCATAAATGCAATTGTCCCCAATAACTGTCCCTGAAACTCTCCTGCACCAGTTCCTTTTGATGCCAACCTGGCTGCAGCTCCAAAATCTGCAATTCTCAGTCTCTGACCTGTGCTGTCAATTAGCAAATTGGCACCTGTCAACAAAAACAGCAAATGACCTTGTATGTTAAAAACAAAAGGACAGATTAAAAACTCAGTAAAATACTACTAATTACATATGACAATGATGAAAGAAATGGACTACATGTAAGAGGTTCAGAGAAATCTACCCTCCCTCCCAAATCACTTCATTTTGCTAAAGGCATGCAGGTTTCTACAGTGTAAAATTAATAAAATCCAGTGCCTCAGAGGGAAAATCTGACAAAGTATCAAGGCACAAGGAGATAAAGGCAGAGTTTTAGTGAAACTTTTAAGTGTTGAAAATCTTTAATATAATGATTCTAACAAAAATCTTAGAGAAAGTTCAAATTTTAGTGTGGTTTACATTTTAAGACAAAGTTCTGCTGAAACATACTGACCTAGACCAATTCAAATTACTGTAGTTTCATAATTACAGCTTAATATAAAAATGTTTAAATTACCTGTATATGCTATCTCAAATATTAAAGACATTCACGTCAGAAAACCAAAGTTGCGCTTAACTGAACTGCAAAAGTTTGAAAGGATTTTTCTTAAAAGACATTTATAATATCCCAGTTATTCTAAATAAAACTGGGAACAGGAACTTTTGGGAGGCAGTACAGCATGAGACCAAGACAGGAACTGGAGACCTGGATTCTATACTTGGTTTGCCATCAGCTGGCAGTAAGATTGTGAAAAAGTCACAGCCTCTCTGAGGAAGTCAGATTATGTGATGCAGAAGGTTCTTTTGTTTCTAATAATTCTAGTTCTTTGAGTAACTCAGGAGAAACAATGCCCTAGTTGATTTCAAGTTAGAAACTATCGCCCTTTCGGTCCTTGCACGTAGGGGAACAGGTCGTGAAAAAAGGAGGACCTGGTGTGCTACCGCCATTTCTTCAGTTTTGGATCCCTGCTCCTTCTGTAGGGCTTCCAACAGTGCCATGTTGAGACAGAGCATCCGGAGGTTCACAACCTCAGTGGTCCGTAGGAGCCACTATGAGGAGAGCCCAGGGAAGAATTTGCCATTTTCAGTGAAAAATAAATGGTGGTTGCTAGCTATGATGACTTTGTACTTTGGATCTGGATTTGCTGCACCTTTCTTTATAGTAAGCCACCAGATGCTTAAGAAATAAGGATGTTTTAGTTAATCCATGAAATTGATGTGAAGAGCATTTTAAGAGGTGCAGTCCCCTTGAAAAATGGATCATACTGTTGAACTTAACATACTAGATATGTTTGTAAACTTGTGACATGAATCTTTAATGCTTCTCTGAAATACCAAATGCGATAACTGGAAAAAAAAAACAAACCACAACTATCAACAAAGATCCAAGTTTCAAAATTATATTTGTTTTCTACTTGTTGCTAGTGAATAAAAGAATTCCTACCTTTGACATCTCTGTGAATGATCTGGTTTTCATGCAGATATGAAAGGCCACGAAGTAATTGTTCAGTATAGTTAATAACTACTGATTCCTTGAAGGCTCCATATTTACTGAGCAAATGAGCCACAGAACCCCCTATGAGACAAACATATAGTAATAATTAGAATAAACTTAAATCACACTAAAATTATTATACTTTGTTTATATAAGGTTGCACTATATGAGCTCACATGCACATTTGAAATGTTCAGTTTATACTCTGCATCAGAAATGAAACTGATTTGAAAACTAACACATTCCAGTAATCTCAAAACCTATCGTTTACGAGACATTTTCATGGAGTCATCATGAACTAGTTTTCTGGAAGATCAAGATTTCAGAAAGCTTTAAAAGATAATTTTGGATGCAAATATTTCTGAACTGTATAATTCACCTCTCTTTTCGACCAAGGTGTACAAAATGCCTTTCTTAAGGACTTAAGTAAACAATGCTAACTTGTTATTTAGCAGAAGGTAAAGAGAATGGGAGGAACCAGAAGGCCTAGACTTAGGTCTTCTTATCCTACTTACTACCTCTGATCTGGGACAAGTCACAAACTCAGCTGCATTTAAAAGTTTATAATCGTCAATCTAAATATCACAACCCAGCTACAACCAACATCAGAGAATAATATACTAAAGAACTGATCTGTAGAAGTTGAGGTTAAGATGGAAGGGAGTAGGTAGATCCTGGACTTACCTTCTCCCATGGGCACACCAAAACTACAACTAAATATAGGGCAACCATTACTGAGAATGACCTGAAGACTAGCTGAACAGAATTTCTACATCCAAGGATATAAAGATGATGACACACTGTGTTGAGTAGGAGGGGCACAGATGTGGTCTGGACAGGACCCACACCCCCAATGTGGTGATTCACAAATAGGAGGGATATCATAGCCACGGTGGTTCCCCTGAGGGAACCACATGGTGGTTCTCCCCATATTATGGGAAACATAATCCATAGCCTGAGGATAAACCCCATCCACTGGCGTGCCTGTAGTAATCATGGCCCAACTACAACAGGAAAGCATACTCAACTCACACAGGGGACACCCCTGCAGCACCTGGCTCTGGTGACTAAGGGGGATTGTGCCATTGGGATCCACAAGGCACCTTCTACATAAGATCACTCTTACAAGACTGGGAGATGTAGGTGAACTACCTAATAGAACCAAACACAGAGAGAGAAGCAAAATGAGACAGAGGAATATCTTCCAAATGAAACAAAACCCCAGAAAGAGAAATAAATGAAACAAAGGTAAGCAATCTATCAGATAAAGAGTTCAAAGCAGTGGATATAAAGATGCTCAAAACTTGGGAGAAGAATGGGTGAACCAATCAGAACTAAGGAATAAAATCACAAATGAAAAATATGCTAGAAGGAATCAATAGCATATTAGATGATACAGAAGAATGAATCAGCAATCTGGAAAACAAGGTCTTGGAACTCATGCAATCAGAACAGAGAAAGGAAAAAGTAATTTTTTAAAATGGGGATAATTTAAGGGACCTATGGGACGACATCAAGCATACTAACATTCATACATTAAGGGCCCCAGAAGGACAAGAGAGAAAGGGACAGAATCTATTTGAAGAAATAAAAACTGAAAACTTCCTTTACCTGATGAAGGAAACAGACATCTGAATCCACGAAGCACAGAAAGTTTCAAACAAGATGAACCCAAAGAGACCCACACTAAGACATTTCATAATTAAAATGCCAAAAGTTAAAAGTCCAAGGGATAAAGCAGCTAGTTATGTACAAAGGAACTCTCATAAGGCTAGCAGTTGATTTTTTTTCAGTAGAAACTGTGCAGGCCAGAAGCAATTGCACAATGTATTCAAAGTGATAAAAAGAAAAAGCATACACTCAAGAATACTTTACCTGGCAGGGTTATTCAGAATTAAAGGAGAGAAAGAGTTCAAGAGTTTTTCAAAGAAGCAAAAGCTAAAGGAGTTCATTACTAAACTGGCTCTAAAAGAAATGCTGAAAGGACTTTTTTAAGCAGAAAAGAGGAGGCCAAAACTAAAAATAAGAAAATATAAGAAAGAAAAAAGGTCACTGGTAAAAGTGAACATTTAGTAAAAGTAGTAGATCAACAATTATAGGGCTAGTATAAAGGTTAAAAGACAATAGTAGTAAAATTGTGGGTATTTACATTAATTAAGATATATACACACACAAAGATGTAAAATAAGATGTCAACAACATAAAACATGAGGGGTAGGTGAGTAAAAATGTAGTGCTTTTAGAATGCATTCTAACTTAAGTGACCATCGAATTAAAATAAGCTGCTATAAAGACAGGTTGATATATATGAAGCTCATTACAATCACCAAAAGCAGTAATACATTAAAAAAATAAAAAGAAAGGGATCCAAACATAATATTAAAGAAAATCATCAACACACAAGAGAAGAGCACAATAGTAAAGAGCAGAGAAGAACTATAAAAACAACTAGTAAAGTGACAGTAAAGTACATACCTATTAATGATTACTTTAAATTTAAATGAATTAAATGCTTCAATCAAAAGACAAAGGGTAGCTGAATGGATTAAAAAAAAAGACCCATTTATATGCTGCCTACAAGAGACTCACTTCAGATATAAAGACACACAGACTAAAGTGAAGGGATGGAAAAAGATATTTCATGCAAGTTGAAAAGAAAAGAAAGCTGGAGTGGCAATGTATCAGATGAAATAGAATTTAAAATAAAGACGGTCACAAGAGACAAAGAAGGACATTACATAATGATAAAGGGCTCAATCCAAGAAGAGTATATAACACTTGTAACATAGGAGTACATAAATACATAAAGCAGATTTTAATAGAGACGTAAAGGGAGAGACTGATAGTAAGGGGCTTTAACAACCCAGTTACATCGATGGATAGACCATTTTGACAATCAACAAGGAAACACTGGCCTTAAATGACACCTTGCACCAGATGGATCTAATTGATATTTTTAAAGCATTTCACCCAAAAGCAGCAGAATATACATTCTTGTCAAATGCACATGGAACATTTTCCAGGACAGACCACATGTTAGGCCACAAAACAAGGCTCAATAAATTTAAGAAGACTGAAATCATATCAAGCATCTTTTCTGACCACAGCAGTATGAAACTAGAAATCAATTATGAGAAAATTGGAAAAAAACACAAACATGGAGGCTAAACAACATGCAGCTAAACAATCCATAGGTTAATGAAACCAAAGAAGAAATCAAAAAATACCTTGAGACACGATGAAAACAATCCCATTTATAATTGCATCAAAAATAAAATACCTAAGAATAAATGTAACCAAGGAGGTAAAAGTCCTGTACTTAGAAAACTATTACATTGAAGAAAGAAATTGAAGATGATACATAAATGGAAGAATGCATCATGCTCATGGATTGGAAGGATTAATAAGGCTAAAATACCCATATTACCCAAAGCAATATACTGACTCAATGCAATCCCTATCAAAATACCAATAGCATTCTTCTCAGAATTAGAATAATCCTAAAATTTATATGGAATCACAAAAGACGCCTGAATAGCCAAAGCATTCTTGAGAAAGATGGTCTCTGATGTCAAACTATACTATAAAGCTATAATAATTAAAACAGTATGGTACTGGCATAAAAAACAGACACATTGGATGGGGTTCCATAGTGTAGCAGCAGTTAGCACATCTGCTTTACATGCAGAAGGTCCTGAGTTCACGCCCCAGTGAAGTCACAGTTCATGGTCTATAGCCATGCCACCCTGAACAAGCCCGATGTCTGATCTTGGAAGCTAAGCAGGGTCGGGCCTGGTTAGTACTTGGATGGGAGACCACCTAGGAAGACCAGGTGCTGTAGGCATTAATAATAATAATGATAATAATAATAATAAAACAGACACATAAATCAATGGAATAGACTCAAGAGCCCAGAAATTAACCTACACTTACATGGTCAATCTACAACAAAGAAGGCAAGAATATATGATGGGAGAGAGACAGTCTCTCCTCAATAAAAATGGTGTTAGGAAAACTGGACAGATACATGCAAAAAATGAAGCTGGACCACCCTCTTACACGATATGCAAAAACAGACTCAAAATAGATTAAAGGTTTACATGTAAGACCTGAAATCATAAAACCAGAAAAAACATAGGCTTTTTGACATTGGTCTTAGCAATATCTTCTTGGATATGCCTCCTCAGGAAAGGGCAACAGAAACAAAAATGAATGGGACCACATCATACAAAAGCTTTTGCACAGTGAAGGAAATGATCAACAAAATGAAAAAACAATCTACAGAATGGGAGAAGATACTAACAAATGATATATCTGATAAGGGGTTAATATCCAAAATATATAACGAACTCTCACAACTCAACATATAAAAACCAATCCTATTAAAAAATGGGCAGAAAATGAAAACAGTAATTTGAAAAGATATATGTATGCATCTCTGTTTCACTGCATTATTTACAATAGCCAAGATATGGACACAACCTAGGTGTCCAACAATAGATGGATAAAGATGTGATGTGTTTGTATGTGTATATATGTATGTATATGTAACATATATATAATACATAATATATATAATGGAATATTACTCGGCCATAAAAAAGAATGAAATTTTGTCATTTGCGACAACATGGATAGACCCAAAAGATATTATGTTAAGTGAAATAAGTGAGAGAAAAACAAATACCGTACAATTTCTTTTATATGTGGAATCTAAAAATAAATGAAAAAACAAAACAGAAACAGATTCATAGATACACAGAACTGATGGTTGCCAGAGGGGAAGGGGTGGGAGGATGTGTGAAAAAGGTGAAGAGGAATAAGAGGTACAAACTTCCAGTTATAAAATAAGTCACAGGGATGTAATATGCAGCGATCCTCATCCTTTTTGGCACCAGGCACCGGTGTTCCTATGAGAATCTAATGACTGATGATCTGAGGTGGGTGAGGCAGTGATGCTAGTGCTGGGGAGAGGCTGCAAATACAGATGAAGCTTCGCTCATCCGCTGATGTATATAACACAGAGGAAAGGTCAACAATATCTTAACTTTGTATGGTGATAGATGATTACTAAACAGTGTAGTAATTGCATCATGAGGTATATAAATGTTGAATCACTATGCTGTACACCTGAAACTAATGTAATATTGTATGTCAACTGTAATTCAATTTAAAAAATTGATTTGTAAATAGAAATATACTCTTCAAACACAAAAAAGTATGAAAAGTTAAACCAAGCACTTATCTATTCATTCATTGTACCTTGTCATTTATTTTACTGTATACTCTGCATAATACAACATAAAATGCAGTCTTTATTTGTTCAAGTACATGACAAGTTTTAACTTTATGTTAACTTACAATAAAATTTTCAAGTTATATCTTAATTTTATTTTTATATTGTCATCTTAAAATATATCTTACACCTGTCCAATTAATGAGGGACACCTGGAAAAATATGGATCTTATACATAGCAGGCTTAAAAAAAATCATTCCTATAAAACCATGCTAAACAATCATTTAAAAAGAAATACTAAAAAAGTTTAAAAGGTAGTGGTAATGAATGTTTATATTTAAATGAAAGACAGTGCTCGCTTCGGCAGCAGATATACTAAATGAAAGACAAAGTATTTACAGTTCATCCTACTATGTTAGGGGTGATTTGCTTTTAGAAATCTAAACTATTTAATAAAAATTAGTGTTCATTACAATGTTTTTCCTAAATTTAATATCAACACAAAGTTAAACCTGTGTATTAATTTTGTAATTTAAAACATGGACATACCTGCCATCCATTCGATGAAGAGATTATAATTGCTCTTCTCACATGTGGCTCCCAACATCCTAATGATATTTGGATGATTCAGATGGCTCATCATTCTTATCTCTTCTCTTAATGCTTCCACTACTTCTTCTTGCTCAGATGATGTATTTCTGACATACGTCACCTGTTTCAATAAACGTATTACAAAGTTTTGCTTTCTAATGAGTTTCTATTTACAGTTTTTACTAACAATCTGATCTAAAATGGACAAATCCAAATGAATACATATTAATAGCAGATGGCATTTATGCTCATGCATGCAATGTAAATATATTTTAAAAACCTATTCAAAGTCATTTATATAAGATTCTAGCTTAAGAAGCAGTGAAATATCAGGAAAATGACAAAAAAATTGGGACATAGTCAATCCTCCAAAACTGTCTGAAAACAGAGTAAAAAAGAGAGAAAAGCCCAATCATGGGAGAAGAACCAACATGATTTAAAAATGAAAGCTTTATAATTTTCATATCTTGATGAGCATGTTCATTATAAAAAACCATAGAAATTCCAAGGTGACATTGTATCAGCAGAGTATGAAACGATACCTCTACTAACTATAAAAAGCACAAAATACAAAACAACCTGTATAAAGCCCATCTTGATGTTGCATTTTATAATAATCATGCTTCAGCTTTTAAATAGAATTCATGTTTTTGGTGCTTTGGTAACATCTACTTTGAAATTTAGGTTTCTGAAAACTTAAAGTACATATACACAGGGACATATCCTTTATTCTTTTTATTTGCTTGTTTCATTTTTATAATTTTAATTATTTATATGCTTACTAGATATTTACCTGTTTAACAGCCATTAAAGTTCCAGTTCCCACATCTTGAGCCTGGTAACAAGAAGAAAATGCTCCAAGACCTATCTGCTGACCTTTCAGCCATTCACTGTCTTCTCTGTAAGGTTGTTTTGCTTTGGTATGTCCTGGCAGAGTCTCTGGTGTCTACATATTAAATGAAAGCAATCTTTTTACTGTTACGTTAAAAGAGTAAGAGTTTGTGAAATTAGCCTGGTAAAGTATTACTCTTGTTCAGTCTGGCTTCTCAAACCACCTCTAAACTTGACTTATGAATGAAGGTACAGTGTTGGTGACCAATGTCAAATGCAAAAGTGATTATTATAGTATCAACCAGAAACATCTTTGAAATAAGCAAGGGGTACCTGTGTTCAAATGTTACAAACTTTGTATAATTCTATGTGAAAAACTTGCTTTTCTAACAAGTAACTCATGTTAAAAGCAGCATTGCTGAATTAAATTTATTTTAGCATGGTCCAAGGAAACTATGGAACCTTAGACTCTATACTTACATCCTGTTGAATAATGATGATATCTTCTCCATTTTCAACCTGTAGTTGAGGAACTATGGGGAGGGCATCCTGAGATGCTGACATTGCCATGGCAATTGCTAACGCTTCTTCTTCTTCAGCTTCCATCTTTTCTTTGCACTTTTGATTATGATTCACATCATCTTTGTAGGTATCATCATTTTCATCTTTTTCAGGAGAGAGGACAGCAACTTCTGACTTAAAAGTGACTGTTGTGTCATTTGAGGGCATAGACGCTTCAAGGAGGTCCTCAATACTAGAGTTGAGTTCTGTATTGACATCTAATCTGCATTTCTCCTCCACTGGGGTGAACACTGTCTCGTCACTAGGTATCACAGCATTACTACTGTTGCTGCTACTGCCAAAGCTGTCATCACATTTGGAAGTACTGTTTAAATCAAGTGTCATGCTATTTTTTGAGTCATCTCCCTGTTTACTTGTATTACCTGGGGTAGGTCGAGATGGCTTTGGCCTGTGTATATTACTGGAGGGCAGGGGTCTTGACTGAGTAAAGACTGGGGAAAGTTTATCTGAGTCTTTGTTTTCAGAACAGTTTCTCTGGAACTGTAGAGAAAACTTGCGCTGTGTTTGAGGAGATGCAGAAGGTATTTTGCAGGGAATGAATCCCTGAGGTCTATGCTTAGAGACATCTGTTGTGGTGCCAGCTGGTACAGCTGGGGCAGATGAAGAAGGAGTTGACAAGGCTGGGAACATTAATTGGGAATGATGAGATAAAAGAGATGAGTTCAAACACTGACTGTGGGGTCTGCCTTTTGTCTGAACCATTGGCTTTGGTTGCTCCATCGTTGCTGTTGAACTAGGAAGTCCTACCGAAATGCTGGCCAGTCTGTCAGAAATGTCCTCCGAACTGGCACTCAATTTTGTAGCACACGATCTTTTTCCAGTTTTCTCTAAATGGTCTGTGCACCCAAGGGAACTATTCTCTGTGGTTTCTGGATAGCTGTTAAGGACAGATGCCTGCAAAAAGCTGTCATGTCGACCATCCAAAGTGTCTTCTATGCCCAGCTGGATGGCCTCAGCGATTTCCACCTCATCTGCAATAGCCATCAAACGACGACGCATCCTGGTAAAATGAGTGGAACTGGACACATTCAGCATTTCTAACAGTTTTGAAAATACATGGGGTACGGCAGTAACCATTCTTGCAGAACTCAAATATATCCTTCGGGAGAGTTTACCAACCATCGAGTGGGAATTATCAATGGACTGCAAAGCAAAGGTTAAGAGGGACAGCAGCTTCTTATACCTGAAAGAAAAAGAACACATTCAATTACTAGACAAGTTAAAATTGCTGCAAAATATATACAAATAAAAAGATGGTTTTAATTTAAAGCTTGTACATTTTGAGAGAAAAATACATAACAACTTCAGTACAAAGGTCTATAAATTTCTAACTAGCTTAGACTTCAGGTTTATATTAACCAAATAGTAAGGTATTAGAAACCTACATATATGCTGTAGTTTCTGAGTCTTTCTTGGGATATGGAATGGGTTGCTAGGCAGAGGAAAGTAATATATTTTCAGAAGAAAACTTACCTGACTTCAACAGGCTAGCAGTCTATCTATAAGACAAAGGCGGCCCAGGAGTTCTTGCCAGTTGTTTGATTCAGTTTGGTTTCCAAGAATACAATTTAAGACATAATCAACACCACCAATACCAATGGATCCTACAAAAAGTAAAGTGAAAGTAAATAACTGAAAAACAGTGGTATTAAAATCTAAAACAAAACATGATCAGATGGCATAAGGCCAACAAAAACACTGAATTATATCAATTTTAAGAATTTCTCTCAGATTCATATTCTCTTTCTAATGTTACAGCTAACTGAATCAATTTACAAAATTACTTTGAAATCCTGTAACTTCCCTATAAGAGATTATGAGATTAGACAGTCTGCTAAGGAAAATGATGAAACATGCTAGGTTGATTTTAAGTAAAAAGTTATTACCAGCTTTTAGTATTTCTCTGCCAACTGCCAACTCTCCTGCTTGACCTTTGCATAATTCCAACAGTGTTGATATAGACAGCTGACTTGTACGACTAAAAGTGAAAGAAAGCAATGTCAGACTTGAATCTTGGATAAAATATACATTAAAAAAAGGGTAATAATGTAATGCCTTGGGAAAAAAATGTTTTCAGGAGTGTCTGCTGATCCACCACTGAAATCGCATTAACAGTGTCACTATAAATAATAATATTATTAGATCTAATTTCATAAATTTTACCTTATCTTCTATGTTAAGCATAGAATCTACACTTCTGGCTCTTAGATAGCAAGTATTGATTTAAATATCAAACCAGATAAGATAAAAGGCCTATTTTCATTATCTTGTTATAATAAAAAAAGAACACTCATTTTGATTTCTGAATTTGCACTAAGAATCTTCTCTTGAATTAAAAACAAAATCTTCTTATTCCAAACCATTATATCCTCTTATATATCCAAAGAGAGTTTCAAATATCAAAATATCTCTTTTTAATTAAGTATTATGATGTTCAGGCAACCAGGTAAACGACATAACTTTAGAATTTCAGAAAGTGGACAAAAACATTGAAGTTCTCAGAAAAATACCTATTCCAATATTGAAAAATGACAGGATTTTTCTATGCATTTTGCAAATTGTTAATTTGCCTAATTTTTTTCAGATATTACAGTATTCTCTATAAGCAATAAGAAAATCTCTTAATATTTTCAGTGTGTAGGCTTGTGCAGAGAAAACAGTGGAGGCAAAAAAACAGACTTCATGGGATGAGAAACAAGTCAAAGCTAAGTACCTAAGTTTTGAGACCTTCTATGAATTACATCATGTGACTTAGGGAGAAAGACAAAGGCTGGACTGAGAGAGCTCTAAATGGGTGTAATGGCAGAGGCAAAACGAGGGCTATTCAGTGCTTCTTACTGATGAGATGAGAACTACCAAACAACTGTTTACTGTAGCTATGCTTATTTAATTAAAAGTGATCTTTTCCTCCCATTTTATGGAAAGGGAAAATTAAAAGAACTAGTGGTTTAATAAAAGCATACCTTATGCTCATTTTCACTTTTCTACCTCTTATTTTTACTCCTCCAGTTAGGGTTATTCTGATTCCCTACAGATTTTTAAGGATATTGAAGGGATATATGGAATTTTTTTAGGGGAGGGTGTTGTCTTTTGATATAGACTATCATTAAAGAAAAATTCCATTACACTGAAAATAATGAATTGGGTTTTTTTTTTTTTTTTTTTTTTGGTTCTGATAATAAAGCAAAGCAGGTATGCTTTTATTGGTTCCTATCCTGTGTAACTCATTCTTTAAAATGAGGGGGGTGTGTGTGTATACATATATATATCAGCTACTGTTCTCATCAACTGGACTTCATATTAAGAATATTACTTTAAAATAAAAGGGAATCAATCACAGTATAATAATGTGGAGGTCCATGCAGTTTGTTAGCCCAGTTTTACTTGCCATTAACGCTTCTCCCTAATCCTTAAGAGCTTTATGTATTATATTTTAATTTCAAATCTCACTTAGAAAATAATGTTCAAAGCCTCATTTAATAAATATATATCAAGTACTCACTAGGTGCTAAAGAAGGTTTGAAGCAGATCATTGGTAAAGCCTTACCTATTGGCATCTGCGCACTTGACTAGGATGGTATCTACAACTGGCCGGAGAAGTCTCTGCAGTTTGATTCTTTCTGCCAAACTATGGCAAGGAGTATATACTAGCATGGCTCTCAACGTTTTCTGCAGGGGGAATAAAACTGAAGGTTGGTTTAATTACATTTAAAAAGCATCAGAAACAATAAGCTCAATCTGAGACAATTTGAGAAACAAAAATAATGATAAGAATAGATTGTAACCCATAAGTAAGAATCTGTGATACAAATAAATAATTGAATAAATAAATAGATGGGGAAGAAAGGAACTCTGAACTATGTCTGCCATTTTTGAAAGTCTGAATTAGTTTCAAAACGAAAAGTTTAAAAAAATATTTTAAAAAGAAAATGAGAACAGGAGCCAACTTGATAGAGCTCCCTAAGACCAAAGCTGGAATAATTTGAGCAACAAAATAAGTGATGACAGATAATAGTGGATTAGGACTCACAAAATAAAATAAATATCCATGAGTCTATATTGATATAAATAAAAAACTGAATGAACACATAAATTGGTAGAAGAGACAGCTCTTCTTTACAGAATTCCAACTAATTAATGTAGAAGGAATGAAGGAAATAGAAAATCACCATTAGAACACCACAGTAATAACTGCTGTAGTCAAGACAACTGACAAATGCTAAAATCAGTGGCAAAATTTTGAAGAGAAATGGGATAGCTGTATAGTCTCGAGGTATCTCCCCATGACATTTATAATAGTAATTTTACAGCGAGAAACCCAGATTTCACCTTAAGTGATAAAGGTAGCATCACCAGTAGTAAGACACATTGATATATACTCCCTGACAGGATGCACTGAGAAGGGAATATCACCTTTGGTATCCTTGCAAAAAATGCATAAACTCAATCTAATCATGAGAAAATATCAGATAAACTCCAAGTCAGGGACAGTCTTCAAAATAACTGGTTGGTACACTTCAAAAGTATCAAAGTCTATGATACACAAGGAAAGATTGAGGAATTATCACAGGGGACATGATAACTAAATGCAGTGTGAGATCCTGGATTGGACCCTAAAACAGAAAACTGGTGAAATCTGAATAAAGCCTGCAATTTAGGTGTAAAGGACATTATTGGGACAATTGGGGATATTTGAATATGGACTTTACAGTACATAACAGTATTGTTATTAATGCTAAATTTCTCATGTCTGCTGATTGCACTGTGGTTATACAGAAGAATGTATTTTTTCTTAAGAGATACCTCCTAAACTATCTGAGGTGAAGTACCATGATGCCTACAATAACTCTCAAATGGTTCAGCAAAAAATTGTATATGGGAAGGGAAGGGAAAAAAGAAAGGGCAAGAGGGAAGGGAAAGTTCTAATAGTAGGAATGATTTCTGCTTCTACTGTACCTATAACACTAAATAACTATAGAGGACTCAGAATATAGTATCATTCACAGAGTCTCTGCAATATAAGAGCTCATAAATTTGGGAAACCACCTGAACTTAAGAAGAAACAATCAGACAGTAGGGCAGTATATTGAGCAGTCAAGTAATGTCTGAAGGTTTATGATAGAAATAGTAAGAGGAGGTAAAAAGTTGAGCCAAGAACTTTGCTCTTTGTTCTACAATATGCTGATATTTATACTATTCTGTAGTATGTTGGTCCCTCAAGATGCTACATGAAAAAAACAGATCATGTTAAGATAAATTTGGGAAATAGTGCATCCTACCCTTTGATCTTAGATTCCCAATATATATTAGCTTATTGAAGGTTCCTAGAAGCCTTTCAGTGAACAGACCCATTTAACCTCATGTAATTTAGTATTCATCAATTTTAAGAGAGCACAGAACTCTTCTTCAGGGGAATTTTCATAATCCTGCCAAACTTCCACAGAGTATGCTTTAGGAAATGCTGAAGCAACAGCAACCTCTAACAGGTTCTTACTGGGGAATAATCAAAGTAGTGTTTCAGGAATAATGGTGGCTAATACACAGTCAATGCTTTTACATTGTGCTAGATATTCTGGCTAGAGGTTTCTAATTCAAACCTAAGAGATAAACATTTTCACTATTTTATAGGTAAGAAAGCTAAAGTTTAAGTTTTCTAAGGTCACTCTTCTAGAAAATAAGAGAACCTGAATTTGAATCAAAGTCTCTATAATTTTGACTATATGTCCAGATTGACTGTGCTAGTTCCAATTTAACTAGCAGATTATTCAGGTATCACAGTTTGGAACATAAATTATGAGGTCACTAAATTCTGACTCCGTGTTCATATGCTATACAACGTCTCAAAAAGAAGATTCATTAGGCATAGTTGTTATAGATTAGAAAAAGATCAAAAGTGAAAGCAGAGAAATTTAATGAGTTTTAAAACCAGACTAGATAATTATTCTAAAGCAGTAGTTCTGAATTAGGGCGATTTGGACCCTCAGGGGACACTGAGCAATGTCTAGAGACATTCTTGGTTGTCATGACTGGGGGTAGGAGAAGGGGCTACAACTGGTGGTATCTAATGGGTAGAGGCCAAGGAGGCTGCTAAACATCCTACAGTGCATAAGACAGCACTCCTGCCCCCAATGAATAATTTTCTGGCTCAATAATGCTGAGGTTGAGAAACCCTGTTCTAAAGATTACAAACACAGACACTCCTCTCCCTCTTTTTCTTTTACACATACTCTGGATGAAGAAAGTCAAATTAACTTCTAAAATTACAAACAGAACAGCCTCCTCATCACTCCATCCCACTCATGAATGACAACTTCTAACAGGTTAAACTAGAAAAACAATTCAGTAGTAATCTATGTCATTGAACTCTTTCTTCTGTGAAAACACTCCTGAATTTCCATACATCATTTATTAAAAACCAGTTCTCATTAATGCCTACTAATAGCAAATTTTTTAAAAAATCAGAGGTACTTTGATCACTTTGCTATTCTATGAAGTATTTTTAATTTGGTCATGAGTAAGGCAAGGAAATATAAAAATATGAACAGCAAGATACTGCTACTTTAGAGGAGAAAAGTAAATTGTATAAAGAAACTTGAACAGATTAAAATAAGTAAAATCCAAATGAAGAGAGTAAATGGAAAGTTGCAATTTCCTGGGATTATGAACTAAAAACAAAATTTGGATTTTACAAAATTAGGTAAAGTAGTTTTACTGGATCGTAAAAATGATATCTATAAACTACCAAAAACAAATCCATAAAGCTATGGTTACAGAATAAAGCTACTTACTAAAGCAGCAACGTACACTTTGTAGACAGGGTCAGCACAGACCATTGACAAAACGTTGCAGCACGCCTCAACCACATTTCCTGAGATACTGGTCTGGGAAGACCCACTGGCAGCTCCGGCACTCGGGCTGTTTCCACCATTGCTCCCGGAATTTCCAGTGCTCTCCCCATTTGCCAATAGCAGAGCCCCACTAACATCGTGGGAAAGACGTCTGAGAGCCATCTCTCTTACATTCCAGTTTCTAGAAAATAAGCAGCCAACGAGTTCCATTCCAAATACCTATAATCAAACAACCACAATGAATTCACTGTGAAGAAAAATGAATGAACCTTAAGTATTTTGAATTAAGCATGATTTTTTTATTACTAAAAAATTGGACATTTCTTAAACTTTCCCTATACTACACATTTCAAATATGTCCAGCTACTTAAAAATCACAAAAAGGAATTTTATACTCAAGTTTAACTAGTAATTATCAAGAAGTCCCTAACATTCATTAACTCAAGTAAAATTAAGAGTAAACTCCATTAAGTAATTAGATGGATATATATGTATATACATACTTATTCTGTACTCCTATGCTTACCAGAAAAACAACAAATCAGTGAAGAACCCCAACTTTGTATTTGTATTAAGGCAGTTTACAAAGAAAAACGTGAAACAAGATAAAAAAAAAAAAGCCAAATCAAGAAAGGCACTGGAGTAAAGTATTTCTTCTATAGATGATAATGGTAAGTCAAAGGCTTTTACTTGATTTTTGTCTTGTACAAAATGGTTAAAACTATAATTAATGGAGTGGAAAATCAAAAGATTAAAGAAAAAAATTCTTGTGTTCAAATCAGCCAAAGATAATGATATACCTCTAATTAAAGCTCATGTCATTACAGTCATCATTACCAGGCTTGCAAAGAAAGAAAAGAGTACATGGTCTTGACATTATGGGCCAATTAGCTAAAAGTAAACTTAATACTTAAGATAACTTATCCTATGAAAAATTTCTAAATACTAGAGATGAATAAACACAATTTTTGGGAAAACAAATCATGACATTTATATGTGTTTTGTTATAAAGTGATAGTAAAGGGGAATAAATCAACTAGAATATAGTGAACTTATTATATATACTTATTTCTGTACTCCTATGCTGTTAAATAGCATACCATTAAGTCTTAATTCTCTTATATGATATTCTTAATAAAAAAACAAGGAATATATAGACTAGCACAACCTAAAGCTTAAGTAAAAACAAAATCTAGACTACTGCCTTGAACGAATGGCATCTAACAGCTCAGTCTCAACTTGAGAGTTCTCTTGAAGACTCATGAAGGAGCAGGTGCAGGCTGTGTTAAATACCATTAATGAACTAGATAAAATGAATAAGATATACTTATTAATTTTGCAAATTTATTAGATTCATAATAGGTTGCTAACATGCTAAGGGAATTCAAAAGCTTGAGGATACGAAAAAAAAAAAATCCTAATGGTAAACAAGCTTAATGAGTTAGTGTATCTGTTTACAAAGTTAAAATTATTAAACAGAATTTAACAGATTATCAAAAATATTTTACTCTCCCCCTTCTGTCTACTGAAGACACTGTCTGGTTTTGGATTCTATTTTTTAAAACATAATGGACTAAGCGTATAATAACAAAGAAAATCATTAGAAACCAACTAACCAACTGAAATTCTAATTTACTGAGGATGGAAAAGAATTAATCAGAAGAGAAGGTAAACAATGGAAAATGTCCTTACAAATAAAAATGACTAAGATAAGGTAAATACCATATATTTTCCACTTATATTCCACATATTCATCCACTTAGCAATTATTAAGCACTTATTACACATCATGAGGATACGGAAAGGAGAAACTGAGTTTAAATGGCAATGAATAAGAAAAATGACAAGTTCTTAGCAGGAATAGCATTAAAAATTGGAACAAGTTAGCAATGAAGAAGAGTTCCGGCGTCTACCTTTGTATAACATTTTGTTTGTTAGTTCAGAAAGATTTTTCTAGAGATGGGCGGTGAAACTACAAAGAATTTCTGAAGTTTAAGCTTATAATAAGCAGTATAGCATTAACATCAAAGGTAAAATTAAATTTTTCAATGGAATAAGAATTATGATAGAGGCAAAGCAAAAGTACTTTCTTAAATTATAGACAACTGGGAGACAAGTACATTAATTGGTCTATAAATATTTGAGAAATGAAGAACAAGAACTCCTTACCTGAATCCATGGCTCAGCTAAATCTTTATAAGCAGGAGGAATCTGCTGAGTTCCATAATGAGTAAGGTTAAAATTGTTCTCCTGATTCCTTCGTTGTGGTCCAGCCAGAGGTGGCTGCTGTATGGTTTGCTGCTGTGCAGCTCGCAGAGAAGAAGGGGAATCCACAGGGCTTGACAGCTCGTGACTAAATGAAAAATCAACAAAGCTTGCTAAAAATAACAAATTTAAATAACACTGAGAATATTTTTATTTTTTATTAAACATATCCAATTCATTAATTCAAAACTATTACCTGTAGAAATCATGTGACCTCCACTTAGATCTACAAAGGGGACATATTAAAGGTTCTTTATTTCTTCTACATTCTTCTGCCCCTGAAAAATTAAAGAAAAAAACATTATTATATGTAATAATTGTTCATAATGGCTAGGATTGGATTTATACAGAGAAACCTCAAAAAATAAGCTGAAGATATTTACCTGAAAGCAGGCAAACACAGCAGGTTAAATTATTCTGATGTTCGCAACTTCTGTAAATGCTATTTTTTAGTTATAATGTACTTTGCTTTCTAGTTTTTCAAATCATGTCCACTTGATTACCTAGTGATGTTATTCCAAACCTTGTTTTGATGTTACCTTTTCTGTAATGCTTACACAGGCCTTTTTCCACTTCTTTCTCTCCCTGTACACCTTCCAGATCAGAGTGTTTCTAATACTGTACCTCCTTTCATTACCATATGCATCATACTCTATTATGATAGTTCTTTGTTAACATAGCTTATCTCATAACAGATCCTAAACTCTAATTTGTTGAAAACTTCATATAAGGCCTAGAATCCTTTTCTTCTCTCACCAATCTCTTCTAAAACATGTTAAAATCCTAAATACACAGCTGACCCTTGAGCAATACAGGTGTTAGGGGTGTTGACACCCTTCCCCACCCCATAGTCAAAAACTCATGTATAACTTCTGACTCCCCCAAACACTTAATTACTGATAGCCTACTGTTGACCAGAAGGCTATCAGTAATTATATACAGTTGATTAACACATATTTTGTATGTTTTATGTATTATATACTGTATTCTGATAATAAACTAGAGAAAAGAAAATGTTAATCATTAAGAGAAAATACATTTGCAATATTAATTGAAAATAATCCACATTTAAGTGACCTGAGCAATTCAAACCTGTGTTGTTCAGGGTCAACTATAGTTAGCTTATATAATAACCATGTTGAGTAAGCATAGGGAGAAAAAGAGCCACATACAAATAGACATGCAGTGGTGGTGCAGCTTGTTCCTGCAGCCATCTTCACACACTGTAAGACTTTCTTCATCAAGCATGCCCAACAAGCAAATAGGACACATCTGTTCCTCTTCATCTTTTATACTAGAAGGAGAAATGAAAGCATTAAGCACAAAATGAAAATATAATAGGATTAATATGTATGAGAATGTTCAGTTTGAATGCAGTATTTAGTGTAATAAAAAAAAAATTATCAACCAAATGAATAGCAAAAGGAGGTTAAAAAAATGGTATACCAGACACTATGAAGCTTTTAAAAATGATCAAAGAGATCCATAAATAATAAGAAAGAAAATTATCTACGGTATACTATATGGTGAAAACAGCAGATAACAATAAAATTCTAACTTATATAGAGTGATTCCATTTATGGCAAAATTACAACTTTATTGTGTCTATTTGAATTATATTGTATATATTAATATTCCTGATTACAGACTGCTTTGAAAAGTCAGTAAGAAAAAATACTAATAATTTAGTAGCAAAATAGGCAGAAGATAAAAATGCAACTGAAATATAAATACCAATAGCCAATAAACTTGAAAACAGTACAAAATGCATATTAAAATTAATGAAGCCATTTTGTCTTTTTTTTCTGATAGTCTGATAGACAAAAATGAAATAGGCTGATAACATCTGGCCCTGATAACGGCATAGGAAACAAGTTATCATACATACTGCTGGCGGGAGTAAAAACTGAAATTTTTGGAAAAGAATTTGCTACTATTTCTTAAAATACTAAATGTACATACTCAGACTGGAGAGAGGGGTTTTGTTTTCTATTTTACAAATATTTGTTTGAACCTTCATGATGTGATAAGCAGCTTTTAAAATCAATAATAATATTTCCATTGCAACATAAAGTCAAGACTCTGAGATGTTTAAGTTGCCCAAGATCATAAAATCAGTTTATGGTAGATCTATCATTAGGCTTTAATTTGAGAAGACTATTCCATAACCTATCTACCCCTACAAATTCCAGAGTCTCTACTAGCTCAGGCTTTCCCCAGGACCCAATATTATACTTCCATTATCTTAAGCTATAATTCCTGAGGAACAGGTTTGAGTGACTGACAGCAAAATAGCAGTTCTGCAAAATTTCCTGAAAGCTACAAATAGTTTAGCAAAGTCACAATGTGTGATTCCCGAGATGAAGCCACACTGCTGATTCTTTCCTTCTTAATTATCTGCCCCACCTTTTTAACTCTTTTCATAATTATTTAACTATGTGGAATGGGGAAAAGCTATCAAAATATGCACGTATTAATGATAAAAATTACCAGGAACATTACAGAAATGATTTATACAACAATCTACAATAAAAATATTAATGGCAAACATGATCCAAGGTCAGCTAACTTTTCAAATAATTACACCAAAATTACACTAAAAGCTCCACAATTTAGCCAAATTATAAGTGCAACTTATTACTTAAATGCTTTTCTGACATAAAAATTCCGTTCTGGGATATTTTCTGTCCATCTTTTTTCCAAGTACATATTTTATAAACATCATTCAGATCGTTTATCTATATACGTGTACATATTCTTAAAATTTTTTATAAAAAATTCACTTGTTAAAGTCTTCATAATTTTTAATAGCAGTATAATATTCCACTGACTAAACAGATCCTAACTATTTAAGCATCCACTTATTGTTGAATATTCGAATTATTTCCATATTTTCACATTTTAAGAAACCATTCGAAACAACTTTGTGCCCACTTTTTTGATATTTCAGATTTTCTTTTTATCACAGTTTTTCCAGAATTAAAATCATTTGAGTATAATATTGGGTCCTGGGGAAAGCCTGAGCTAGTAGAGAGCAGGGATCACCAAACAACAAAGGGATCAAATTGCACGTGGCCCACTTCTGTAAATAAAATTTTACTGAAATACAGTCATGCCCATTAATTAACATATCATCTATGGCTACTTCAGCTACAAGGGTAGAACTGAGTAGTTATGACAGAGACCCATTGGCCCTCAAAGCCCAAAGTATTTAGAGTGTAAAAAAGTCCCCTGGAATAACACAATCTATTAATAACCATTACAGTTTTTACTCATTCCAATATTTATGCACCTATAATACCTTTTCTATATAAAAACTGGGTTCATGCATAACGTATAGCATTATAACCTGAATTTTCTTTCACGCCATTCAACATTCTTCAAAAGTATAATTTTAATGGCTGCACAATATGGGCATACTTTAACCATTCACTTGCTGGATATTTAAGTTGTTCAAAATATTTCACCATAATACTGCAAGAAACAGCCATATACGTAAGTTTTGTGCATTTCTTGGCTTAAATTTTCTTAAAAAAAAAGTACATTTACTGGATCAATGAATATAAACATTTTAAAAAGCCACTTTATGTTTTTCCAGAAAGGCTATACCACTTTACATACAATGAGGCATATCCTTACAATAACTCAATTGGCTCATTACAAGTCTCCACTAATTCTGTAAAATCTGGTATCTTTTTTTTTTAAATGAGCATTTCTGTAGTTATTAGGTTGCCTGGACAATTTTCATGTCAGTTAAGCCCTTGAAATTCTTCTTTTGTGCATATTCTCTTTATGATCTTTGCCCATTCATGTACTAGAACCCTAAGTTCCTGTTTGCAGCTTTTATTTTTTTGGTAAGGTTTTGTTAATTATTTCTTGTAAGTATATTCAATTTGTTCCCATTCTGTTTTTTTAATGTTTCTTATATACCATTTAAAATTAATACAATGCAACCAGATATCTAGATAAATTTTTTTTGAGATTACATGAAAAATATTAACCTACTTACTTACAAAGTATAATCTCAGTATATCAAGATTACATCTTCTGTGGTTTTCCCCCATGGATACACTAATCCAAATGAACCAATAACAGCCCTCCCTTCTTCAAATTATGGCCAGCCTGTATCTGGAAGGTACCTTTCTTCGCCTTAGAGAGAAACTTTCTATTTTAACTTTGGTATCTGGTTTAAGCATTTGTTATTTGTTTTCCAAAACGTAAAACTACAGCAATGTCCAACAAAAGAAGAAAGGCTCTAAAAAAAGTTTTGGGCAGGAAGCTTAAGAAATAAAGCTCATTTTTTCATTCTAATTAGAAGAGACATGGGGTAAGAGAAAAATCCTTGAACTAGAAGTCAAGATACTCAGGTTCTGGTTCCGCCTTTGCTTAAATGAGCTGCCTGACTTTATTTGGCTTTACTTATTATTGAACAGTATAAAAGAGAAAAACTCTAATGTCCCCCCAAACTTATTCACTTAATCAAAAACAAAAAATTCAAACATTTACTTTTTCCAACTTAATTCTTTTCTTCACCAGGCCTTTGTCAAGATATCACTTTCTATTCTTCATGAATTTTGAAGTAGTTACAGTACTTAAAAGACTGATGGGATGGAGACGGGACTTAATCACTTAGACCAATGCTTCTCAAACTAGGGTACTTTGGGAACATAGGCGATGCCTTTGTAAGAGAAGCAGCACTCCTTTCTGGAGTGATTTAAAAATCTCATTAAAACCAATGAAGAAAGCAATTAATAAAACCAGTAAAGAAATCTTAGAAACATAAAATTCACATGAATTTTTTAATACTAGAGACCCACACACTATGTAGCAGAAGGCAATGGTAAACCACTGCTGCATTTTCTTATTATTTTTTTTCCTTTTTGTTTTACTGTGAAACCCCTGTGATGAGACAGTCCAAAATAAAATATGAGATAGTACTAAAAGATGACACTCCCTGGTCTAAAACCACTCCAAAAGGGGAGGAGCAGAGATTAAGTACGAATCGCACTGTTTGCTAATGACATAACTAGACCAAAATGGGAAGATGTGTAGTAGCGGATATACATAAAGCAAAAAGAAAGTACGATGCTGCATAACACACAACATGGAATGTAAGAAGCATGAACTGAAGTAGGCTGGAAATTATAATGATGCTGACCCCATAAGAGAGGCCACA